ACTGGCACCTCCCTTCTCTAAATTCTACCCCCGAGTGGCTCACAAAAAGGTCTGCGCCGTTGGAATTCTACCCCCGGGTGGCTCACAAAAGGTCTGCGCCTCCCTCTATATTTGACCCCCGTAGCAAGGTGCAGGTGGGCTATTTCATCCACTTTTGCGGCGTTGTCACAGCTAAGCGAAGGTGGGCCTTATCATCCACCGTTGCGGCGTTGTCATTGCAAAGAAGTGGTAACCGTGGTGAGAGACATAGTGGGCTGGCCGGAGTGATAGCGGCACCGGTCATTTAATAGTAGAAAAAAGGTGGTGATAATAGAAGGTGGTGGTAACGGTGGTGGTAGCAGCAAGAGCTATCAGAGTAACAATGAGTGTTTCTACAAGTCTAAAAATCACTTGTTGGAAAACCATTTTCCTATAGGTGACTTCTCGGTTTCCAAGCTCTCCTCAGGCTTCCATCTTTCCCGGACCCCCTATTTTGGGGAACCTCCTGTAAACAAAAAACGAGATCGGAATTGTCTTTTTAGGTGGGGGGCGTCTTGTACAAGGTGAAAGGGATTGTCATTCTCCAAAGTAGAGGTGCAATAGGCAAAGAAGTTGCCAGGCGGCAAAACGACGGCTTTATCATCAATTGGAAACACTTTGCGTGAAGCCATGGTCGGCGAAACTGTCAAGCCCTTGGTATGTCCAACATACAGGCAAACATGATTTGGCACGCGCTGCTTTTGAGTGACACATGCATGAAGACCATGTCCGGACATGTTGAGCGTTCAAATTACCTGAGACATACCGGTGATTCATGACAAAGTCACCTGGGTGTGAACTTTGAAGTGTGAGAAGCCTCGCGCGACCATGCCGCACGACTCAGCGTAGAAGGCATATACAAAGACATCGAAGACGCAAAGGGTGCAAACATGGGCAAAGGACCCTTGGAAAAAGGGCATAGCAGTGTGCTAGGCGAAGGTGCGCCGTATCATCCACTATTGTGGTGTTGTCGTCAGCGCAAACAAAACGGCAGCTGATGGAATTGCTGTCGGGGATAGTCTTTAGGCTTCTTGTTCACGCCTGCTCATCGAAAGAAATTCAAGTCCACGGGCGGTTCTTTCCTTCCTCTCCGGCAAGCCAGCTCTCTGAGTGGAGCACGCAGGTCTGACAGAGTTTCGCGACAGCCTGGAGTGAACCCTGCCCATTACCCTGCCGCTGCAACTGGCTAAGTAGACCTAACCAAAACTCGTTGGGCGCAGTTTCGCCCGAAGATCCGGCAAAAACCAAAACTGTTCTGCGTGGAACCAGTGGGCGGAATTTCGCCCGAAGCCCCGTCCGCGTCTACATCTAAAGAAGCCGACAAAGTGAGAGGCCCCGCTACAGTGACGCGTTAGAAAAGAAAAGTGTGAGCCTAAACTTTCCACGCCGCAGGTGGTGCATTTGTGAATGCCACCCTGCCCACAACGAACTGCATGGTTAGTAGAACGGCACTCTGCGGGCTTCTGACCTGTTTAGGTCAACGTCTGCAAGGCTTCAGCTCGCCCACACTCACAGGTTTCTCAAACGCACCTGCGCCAACGGATGCGCCGTTTTGATTCCTTTCCTGGTTTCTCATTTGCTTTTCGCACGGAATGCATGTGTCACAACTTACCCAGTCCCAGGAGAAAAATCCAGAGAACCCTAAGAAATATCGATGTGGTCCATCCAAATTTGAAGACCTTGTTGAGATTGAGGAGGGTGAGGGCCAGGGCGCTTTTTCACACCGTATCTTAGAATTGACCGTATAGTTTTGAGTGCCCTCATCAGAACTGCATCAATAGTTCAAACAACGTTCGTGATGGTTCTCAATTTACATACGTGTATAGTATTAAAATCAGTCATAAACTTATGTTCCACTGTGTCGGAATCGTTGTTTTAGACCGCATTGAAACATGCTTTCCAACGCTCCCGGTCGACACACGCCTCTAATCGCTCTGGCTGGAGCTGCTCGAAGAGGAAGATGAACTGCTGCAGGACTTGCGCTTGGGCTGCTGGGCCGGCGCTTTCTCCTGGGCGCGCCATACCCTCTCTTTCATCTTTCTTTTCTTATCTTAGCTTCATCTGTTTTTTCTTTTGTTTCCTTTCCTTTCTTTGTTTCTTTTGGTCTGTCTTTTGTCTCTCTCTCTCTCTCTCCCCTTCTGTGGGGTTGCAACCCCCGAGAAGCACCAATTTCAAGGTTACGCATGGGCACCCCCATATCATTGCACTACAGATGTGGAATTCGTGTCATGGTTGCAGGGGAGACATGGAACTGCAACGAACCCAGTCACCGCACCGTCGCTGACGAGCAGCATGCCCATTCGCCTTGGCTGCGGAGACTCACCCTCCGGTAGAGCAACTGCGCAGATGACGACCACCGCCGCCACCGCAACTAGACATTCACGTCTACATAAACACACACACACACACATCTCGTATTCGCAAGTGGAATTGCACGGCGTGCAAATTTGGATGCCTGTACATAGCTATCTACGTATCGATCTATTTATTTATCCATCTATCTATGTATCTTTACCTATCTGAGTATATTCCATATGTTTATAAATATACAGTATATGGACAGATTTCATATGTTGAAATCTTCATCTGAAGGTGCGTATGGGCTCGCTGAATGGAATGGAAACTGAAGGCGTGGCCAAGATGCCCATCTAGAGGCTTTGGAGCTGCATGTTCTGCACAAACGAACGCCATACGTTGCTTTCTTTTTGCGCCTCGTGCAAAGGAGAAAAGGACACTGGATGAGGGCATACACGCCTCTCGCCTCTCCCCCGTCAGGCCGTTAGATACGCCCAGGCAACTAAAAAAATAAATCTTGCACGAAGTCGTCAGAACGATCTGGCCGCGACACGGCCCTCTCCACCAGGACTTGTTCACGGCATCCAGGAGCTCTGGCTTCTTGAGTCCGTGGGCGGCTTTCTTGTTGCAGTGGCTAAAGAAGCACTTCTCCTGAGCACGGGCTTGACAGAACCAAGTGTCCACAACAAGGGTCGGTGGCTCATGCGGCGCTCACGAAAAACCACAAGCAAGTTACGATTGAAGGCTAGATGGAGGGTGTGTGGAGAAAGGGGGTCAGCAAAAATCGCTTATACGCAGTTAGTGCATCAAAAATACCTTCCACGAAGTTGCGCGAAGGTTTCTGGAATTTCGTTGCAGTCAGTTCTCCTACTGGCCCACCATTCCACGAACTGTCTACGAATAGCCTTGGGTTGAACGAATGTCCCACGCCTTCCACGATGTTAGTAGATAGGTTTTCGCAAAACCCTTTCTGTGCACCACCCTTCCGTTTGCCTCTGAACGATGTTGCCCGGAAAAGACTCGCAGCTTGTCACTAGGCGAGCTCGACCGTCAGTGCCGGATATACGACACGGGGCCCGCGCGAACAGCCCAAAACGCGCGCGCATACAAGAAGAAACGCGCGCGCAAAAAATGTTCTCGCAGTAATGCGCGTCAACGCGCGGGCCTCGGGACGCCTTTCGCGCAAAGCGCGCAAGGCGCGGAAAACGCGCCAAATGCGCGGATAACACCCTCGCCCTTCAAGTCCTTGGCCTCGCTCTTCTGAGCATCGTCGCTTTTCTTCTTTTTGTTCTTCACATCTGGTGTGCTTCTGCCTTGGTCGGAAGTGGAGGTGCCTCTGTCCAAAGAAATAAGAAACACCGTCGAGACCCAAACAGCGAATCCACGAACGTGGCAAACACGAGGAGTTTTTTAGCGCGGCAAGAGCGCAGCCCCATCGCTATATTTATGATATGATTTGATATGTTTTGGCCACCGTCACCGTCAGTGAGACCCTCCCTGACACACAAATGGTCGCCAACCACGCATTCCAAAAGTGGCTCGGCTCATCTGATCTCGGTTGCAGCCAGGCTTCAGGAGCGGTAGCGTGCACTGCGGCTGCCCCACAGCTGCGGCAAACCAAAGGAGGGAGCGGCCCCGTTGATCTGCCTGGGAGGTAGTGGCGTCCTGTTTCGGACATGTGAGCCCACAGCTCTACTGAATGGCCCTCAGGGCAGCGGCCAAAGGGAAAAGGAGATAAGGTGAGGTGAGATAGCGACCAAAAAACTATCTTGTCATACTCCGAGCTGCAGGGTTCAGAACTGAAGTAAAAAGAACGGAGAGTTATGCGCAACCAAGGCACCGAGGTCGCACACGCGGGTGTCGTGGAGAAACCGGTTCATTTGAGCCCCACGCAGCTGGACTCACGCAAGCAATGGATGTGACAACGAAAAAACAAATAAAACACTTATCGAACCCACGAAGGACCAGAGGACCAAGGCATTTGCCACCAGGCATTTGCCCCTCCTAGTAGGGAACTATTTCTACTGGTGAACCATTTTTCGAGTAGGGCTACTCAATGACTGGACGGCAACCTTATCGTTGGGTACCTACTTTCTTCCCAGGGAGGTCTATTTGCGCAAGCAGGGGACCAGGAGATCGACAGACGAGCGCCGTAGGAGAGCAAAAGACCAGCGGACCAGGAGACAGAAGGACTAGGATACCAGGGGACCAGCGGACCACAGGACCAGAGGACCAGGAGACCGGAGGAGGGACCAGTGGACTGAAGGACCAAGGGACCAGGGGACCAAAGGACCAGTGGACCAGAGGACCAAAGGACCAAGGGACCACATTACCAGAGGACCCGCAGACCACGAGGCCAAGAGAGCAGCAGAAGAGGCCTATCAAGGAATATTTATTGTTTGATCCTGTTTTTTTTGATCCTGTTTTTAATATTTTTTTTGATGATCTTTTTATTTTATTTTTGATACCTATGCCCCCCCCCACCGCCTTTAGGGTGGCGGGGGAAGCTTCCTTGAAGAAGCGTGAGCTATCCTGCGTCCTAGGTAGTAGCGTGTTAGTAGCTACTACCTACCTACCTACCTACCTACCTAGCTACCTACATATCGGCCTACCCCCTCTCTGTTTAAGGGAATTGTTGATGCAAGGATAAGGTCTGCCCGACCTTGTGGGTTTTCCAAGGTCAGGACACCCTCGTCCAGCCGCCAAATGACGCCCGTGCAGCCTTTGGAGGTCAGAGATCTTTCTAGAAATTTCGATGGTTTTGATTCTTTGATCAAATCAATCTCGTCTCTGTACTGTACCACAGACCACAACTCCAGCTGTGAGCCATTACGGAAACGGCCAAGACCGTAGCAAACTCCTCTCGCACTGGAACATCTTGTGGGAAAAGGCCGTCTGCACATCCAGCGTGTCTTTATGGAACAACACCCCACCAATCTGCATCCAACTGAGGTCGACTTCCACAGACACAAAAATCATGTTGTGGTGGCAATGTGTTGAAGTGATGCTATCTGGAATTGTCCAATTGTATTGATCAGATAATGATTCGATATTCAGTCTTGATGAGTGCAACTGGATGACGGTCTTTAGTCTTTGACGCTTTCGGCGGACAGGTTCGCCTGGTGGAGGCAGACCATCTGACCGTGGTGACCTAGAGCCACATCAAGCTACGGGTCTCAGCCTACTGATTTCATTGAAGTGAGTCACCAGCATGTTGTCTTGATCATTGGAACATCCAGTGACTCTCACAATCCATTGAAACCATCCACACCGTGAAAAAAAAGAAAACATGCTGGCAAATGCCTCCTCTATCCCTAGGAGTTCTTGAGTGCGCAGGTTCTTGTTAAAACCATCAACGGTTCGGTTCTTGCCCGTGACAGGCAGCTTGAGCCGCTCGGTACGTGCCTTAACTCAAGGCGTCCAGACAGAGGGGTGATCACCTTGGATCTGGAGTGATCATGAGTGAACCGTTGATCACGCTCTGCAGATTCAGGATTCGACGGGTGACATCATCGACTCAGGTCTTCAACAACCCATATGTTGTTTGCCTTTCAAGAATGCAACTTGTGTAAAAGGCCCTAGTTTGGGCAATCTCCTGTTGCTAGTTTGAAACAAAATCCCTTGGACTGGATCAAGACGATCGAGGCCTGATGCCTTGAACCCGTCTCTACGACCCAGAATTTGGGAATCTTCCCCATCTGCGTGCCCCGGCCCAGGTCTTCTTCGACCGGTGCACAAAAATGTCAATGGCCTTCGAAGAGAAAACTCCATGGATGGGAGATGGCCCTCAACATTCACATGAAGCACTACCAAAACCTACCGATTCATGAAAAGGTCACCGACAACCTGGTGGCTCAAAAAGGGAGCGCCTGTCGCTTCAGTGGAACACAGGAACATTTGGAACTTTATCTAAGCATTTGACCCGATGCTTGCCTTTGTATGCGTTTGACTCAACAGTGCATGTTTGCGTTTGTGTTTGGCCTACTGCTTCAGTTTCAGGTGTCAGCCAAAATGCAAATTACTTTACTTCGAGTCATCCCGACCACGACATGTCAAACCATTGTTTTCATGCCATGTTGCCATGGTCGGGGCTTTGTGGTTCTCGATTTTGCTTGTGGGTCCTCGGGTTTGAGGTTGTTGGGTTAGTGTTGAGGGGTTCGCGTCGGGGCGTCGCTAGGGTCTACAGCTTGCGGTTACTTGTGGCTGTGCTTTGTTGCCTGTAGTGTGGCTGTGTTTGTGTTTCTGGTGTGTGTTGTGTGTTGTGGTCGTGGTGGTTGTTGAGGTCCGAGTGTGCCCACCGCGCTCTTGCTGTCGAGGTCTGGGCGTGCTCACTGCGAACTGGCGCTTGCTGTTGAGGTCCGGGGCGGCGGAGGAGGAAGGAGAAGACCATCTTTAAACATCTAACAACCCTCACCTGACAAGTGGAGAAAAAATACACACTAAACCGTGACCACTGGACATGAGATTTATGGATACATACATATATATATATATATAATTGTATATATTGAGAGCACGTACGGACACTGCCGTTGATTGTACGAAGCTGCACCTGACGTTTGGAGTGTCCAAAGTCGGGTCCATCATCCAGTTAAAGATATTCAAAGGTTAAAGTGGTGAAACCCATACGTTTGGATTTCAACAAACCAAGCCTCGTCTTCCTCGCTTTCGGACTCCTCCAGTAAGTCTGTCCTTGGGATGCCCATCGAATGCCTATTAAGGAAAGGGTGTTCCAATGCACAATGCAAGACTAGAAACCTCAAACAATTCAATAGAAATGGAATGTTCTGTGCTCAAGCACAGAAAAATGCGAACAAATGTGTCAAAATGCCGATCTTGACAGGCGTCTCCATCTCTAGCAGTTGCTCCAATGGAGTTTCATCTGGCAGGCTCTCCTGCGCGAGCAACGATCTCACACCTCTGGAAAGGCTGTGAAAACAGCCTTCAACATGATTGGCCTAGTAAGTACCGAGTAAGTGGGACATCTGAGGACACCGGCGACTCTAAGACCAAGGGCATGAAGCATCGCTGCTTTTCGAACCTTTCCTGCATGTTCATGGTGTTTAACATATTTAGATAACATTGCATCTGGGGCACTATTGGTTGCTTTGGCATAACATGCACCTCTCTGCTGCGGAGCCTGGTCCTTAAGTGGCTGCGTGGGGCCTGCCAACGAAATCAAATATGCAGCACCACTGCAAATGGGAAGGTATAGGCGAAAAGTTTCTTGACTCATGGCCTTCCATGCCTGCAGGGGTCTGCAAATTCTGTTCAAGCGGCTGTCCTTGTGCAGCGAAGCTAGCAGCTAGCATCCAAAGTGAAGAGGAGTCATTCCCCCATTTCCTTACTTATGCTGCAATCTGATTCCGAAATCGGGTACTGTAATCACTGTAATCCCTGAATTCTCGAAGATTGATCCATGAATTGGATAAAGCTGCGCTGGTTTCATACTCTGGCCAGGCCTGGTGGCACACCCTCCGCTGCACGCGGCTTTGCCCCTGAACCTGCACCCACCTCGGCGCCGCCACGCGGGGCCGCTCAGAATGTCGTGGATCGTTCCAACACTTTCGAACGGGAAAGCGATTCCTCTGGAACTGGAACCTGGTACCTATACCAGCCACAGTGCGCATGACACAAGTCACCAATGATTCATGATTGCCTTACCTAGAACAGCATTTCTTGTGAAATAACGCATTGCGACTTCAGGTGAAGGTTCGTCAATATCCAGTCGGTCTTTTTGGCTAACGACCTGAGCCGGTGGTGGAAGAGCCGCGCTGCTCTTGGTTCTCCTCCTAGCAATGCATCCGACCCACACACAACACTGAGGGGTTTGAGCCTAAGCTTTCCAAACACGCTCCAAGCTCGAAGAGGAATGCATGCGATGCCTTTGGTGGTGTTGAGGTCATTTCCAACCTCCCGCCTGCGATGCATCATCGTCATCATCATCATCATCATCACCACCATCATCATCATTTCACGTGTGAAATGTACAAAGTGAGGCTTTGTGCTAGGGGGGGATAGGCTGCAAAGCTTTGTGATCCTGCTGTTGAATCAAACATTCGACAATTGCACTGGCTGCAAAACTGGAACGGCTGTTCTTCCAAGTTTGCATAATTGTGACCGCCTGATGCCCTGCCCGTATACAGCTTTGCGATCCCAACTTAAGGGTTTTCATAACGGTCTGCCCAACTTCAACAACTGTACTTCAAAAGAGAAGCGGACAAATTGACACACTCGCCCCGAACATCCAGCTTTATTGCCTTCAGGCCTTCAGGTGATCTGTTTCATTGGCCACTGGACTGGCTTCGTGAACTCTTAAAAGTCCTTCGCAGCACTGCGCCATTCATCACCACGCAGCACGACACTCGTCTCCCACCCAAGCGGATTTGTTCAGGTCGGTGACGATCGATGTCGCTAGGTTGCTAGGTTGCTAGGTCAAATGGATTGGTCCTGGCCGAAGGCCTAGGTCAAATGCTACCAGTTACGATGGGAACTTGAAACCTGGGCGGAGGTCTTCCAGAAAGAATTTCATCCGGAGCCCATCGAACGATTGGGTGTTCTCTGAGCGGTGAAGGTCTCAATTGATGCAGCGACGGAGACCTTGGACTCTGCGGTTTTGTCTTCACTTCTTCTTTGCAACATCTGAAGAAGCGACAAATCCTTGAAAGATTAAAACAGACTGCGTACTGTGCATGGTCCCAACGCACTGCAGATGTCTTTGAGTGGAAGCGGCTACCCCAGTCTTCAGTGAGGACGTGGCACTCATGAACTCGCAGTGATCATCGCTTTGAACTCAGCTCACATTCAGACAGTTCACACCTGTCAAGTGAATTAAAGCTGAGAAGAAGGAAACGTGAACCTGCCAGTAGGTGAAGCAATTTCCAAAATGTTGAGAAATGCACGGTGCATGGTCAACCCGACAAATACCTACTTTTCATGCTCGAGTGAAACGCTTCTTGCGCATTCGGGACCAAGTAGATCTGGCACGGTGAGACACTACGAAACTGTGAGACTCGGTTAGCTATGCATTCCTTGGGATCTCTTTGACAGGGTCTGCAAATGCAAAGTAATAGGATCATGGTACCAATCTGACCGCAAATGCCTTTGGTTGTGGGATGTTGTGGCTCTTGATGTGCTTGATGTCATATGAGAAAAGCGTGCAGCACGCTCACCAGGACGGCACAAGCGCCTCAAGCGGTTTCATCAGAGCGGATCTGCGGTTCAACGGGTTTGTGCCATGTGACTTGAGAATCGGGTCCACCCTTTTTTGACCCGTTGAACGGGTGGTGTGGAGAATGTACACCAGAGCCTAGGCCGCGTTTGGTATTCACATCTTCCTCTCTGAAAGTGGATCAAGAGTGGTTGTTTGGTGAAGTTTTTTGTGTGCTGGGCAGGAGGAAGGGTTGACCACCAATGGAAACACTTCAAACCGTCATGAAAGAGTAGGATCATTTGCAACAAGAACATATTGAAGAATGCCAGTAGCTTGTGCACCGCCGGGCTTTGCCGTATATTGATAACTGACCCAGGGAAGCACTCAGTGAATAAACGTCTTGTTCAAAGTGTGCAAATACGAGCAAACGATATGAGCAAGATGCTCTGGTTTCGTCTGCGTCTCAAAGTGTTCATGCGTGTGTGAGCGCGCGCGCGCTATTCCAAACTGCCTTCTCCAAATCAGCTTTCCACGACAGCACTTGAGAGGTCCATCTAACATCTACCTAACCCCGAAAACAAAAAAGATCATTTAAGAACATTTAAGAGCGCCGCCTACAGGGATCCGAAATGAACAGAGTCCAACTAAACGTGACTGTCAGGCCGATCCCCTTTGCTGATGCAGCAAATGGTTGTTGCAAAGTCCCAGAAGTCCCGTCTAGGCCTAAAAACTGTTGAACCAAGACTGCTAGACTCGGTAGACCCTCTGAAAAGCCTCGAAATTCGAAGGCTGCGACACCCGATGTCCTGCTTTCGGTACTCGCCTTTAACTTGGCTCCATCCATGTGAAGAAGGCCGTCCACAGGCTCTCCAACTGAGGATAGGCTTCCGCCAGAACCCTGAGGCCGGTCGAGATCGGAGGAACCCTAAATGACCTGTCCAACGCTGGTGGATGCTGGTGGTGATCTCGTCAGCCTCTTCTTGGTAAGTCTTGCTTGGCAGTGACTCTTCTCGTAGAAAGATGTCGCGCCGCTGTTTGTTTGGATTGAATGAGTGAGTCCTAAATCCAAGACCATCAATCAACATTGGAAAGAGCCTTAATTACACTTCTGTCGAAGTTGGAGTCAGGACAAGAGAACCCCACACCCAGTGCAACAAACAATCAAAGCCCTCAATTCTTCAACTCCCGATCGTCCCGATGTTCGTTTGAATACACCTTACATTGTGAGTGTCCCAAATGTCCCAAAGGGCGTCCAACAGATCCTTTCTTCTTGCGATCAAGACTTGTCGACTTGTGGCCGGTAGCCACACCGGAGACCCGATCCCAAACGCCTGACCATCTCCTCCACCTTACCACGGAGCCTCAGCGCCGTGATTGGGAAGAGATGTGGGGATCAGCGCCTCCAACGCAATAGGAATGGCCTTCAGCCTTCTAGCGATGGCGTCCAACCTAGGTTCGATGGCCTCCAAACTAATAGCAATGGCCTCTGGAGAAAGTGGGCCTAACCCTCGGTTCGGGGATCGTTTCTGAAAGTCTGACTTGAGAAGGAAAACAATCACATGGTGTGGACGATGCAGTGCAACAGAATCCACCCATCACCTACTTAGAACTTGCAGGAGCGGAGAAATGCTCCGGATGCAAATCAAAACCCATAGATGAAAACCTTAACTTATTCTGCAAAATAATATGTGTATCTATATAAAATTGTAACAATGTACATTGCAATAACATGTTTGCAGGGTGACCGCAGATTCAGACTGGTTGGCCAAAGCGTTACACGGCAACTTCTCCGCGATTTAACTGCTCATGAGGTGATATGCATTGTGAAGGAGACATCCAGCCAGCAGAAGCTTTGCTACCGAGCATACCAATGTTGGCCAGAACTCATCTCCGTTCACACACTCTAGGCACAAGAAACATTACCGCCGCTTACAACCTGACCTGCGAACAGGTCGCTGTCCCATGTCAGCTTCTGGACGATCGATTGAATGTCAACACTCGCGAGCCGTGAGCTCAATTCTACCCTTTTATGGGGATCCTTTAGAGCACACTGGGTGGAACAAAACCGGTTTCAACCTTGCTGAGGTGGGTAGTGTCTGTGGAAGCCAGTGAGCAGCTAGCCAGCGCAGCCAAGCTGCTGCACCTGCTCCTGGTATTGTTGCTGCACATTCTGCGGTGGTGGAGGGCCAGTGCCCATGGCCAACTCATCCATGCCTGGAGTCCAGTGCCCACGCAAGCCCAGCTTGCAATGACTGATTGTAAATGTACCCATTGAAGTCGTAGCAAAACGATTTGACCAAACCAAGTGCAGGTTCTTATCACTTGAAACAAATTGAATTGGCAAACTACTTGGCAGCAGACTACTTCTTGCATCTTCTTGGATGTTTGAAGGACTATGGAGCCTCCTGCAGCTCGCAAAGTAAAGTATTTTTGTGTGGGCAGAATCGAGAATGCAACGGAGCGGCCTCTCGGCCAGGCCGAGTATCGAATCCCACTTTTTAAAACTGAAACCATCCCAAGTTCTTTGATTTTGGAGAGTTGGATTCACACATTCACTCAAACTGAAGGAAACTGTGGCTACTCAGGGTGGACGCAGTCTAGGCCCGCGGGCGTTTGGCAGCACGCTGAAGCTTCAGGATACTGGCCAGATTTCGCTGCTTTTCGATGTGGCCCACCTGCTTCGGATGTGGTGAGGATGTGAAGAAGTTTGGGAAAGTGGGTTTCCTTTGGTCACATAGCCCCTTCAAGAAGTGTATCTACCAAAAATGATGAGTTCACTGCAATCATGTTTGGTAAACTTTAAAGGTTTGGCTTGGCTCAAACAAACAAGGACACACCTCGCCAGTCGGCACAAGTAACCGGGCAGTGGACTAGCTTACTTGCCAGGCAAACACCATTGTTGCCTGCCAATCCTAAGTCACATGTTGAACTCACTGACAACAAAGAACATGTCCTGCTGAAATTCTGCGGAAAAGAGCCTCGCAAAGGTGCACTGTTATTCGGAATATCCCCAATAAACCAAAAAGGTATATAAGTGATCCTTGGCCGTACCGTCTTCCCTCTCCAACTTCCACACAAGCGGCGACAATGCACCACCATTTCGCGTCATGACGAGCAAGAAGTATTGATATGACGACAGACTCAAGTGACACAGGCAGAGATTATCTTGCCTGGCCCTCACTGTCAGATGAAATGAATCTCACTTGGAAAGTTTGTCAGGCACCTGGGGTCAATCAAATGCAGTTTTGCTGCTGTACACTGGCCTGGTCTCATTCGTGGGCAGTGGTAACCAATAGGTTTCTCCTCAAATAAAATTTGACCCCAAGTTTTTCAGGAACTCAAGCAGTTCCAGCCCAGAAGCTCGCTATTCCTATCCTCAGGCCCAACATGCAACAGCAAGCATGAGGCAGCGGACAAGCAGGATAAACAGTTGGACTGCAGTCTAGTCATTGGACACCAGGCCCATTCTCCCGCATGGATGAGAGACGAGGAGCTGGGGCCCCCCAAAAAAGGATGAAGAATTACTCATGTCTGTGCTGCAGGACAAGTTTGAGTCCTTGCAACCTATCACTTTCAAGTGTGTTCTCTTCGGCGACCATTTCAATGGTTTGCCGCAGTTCGAAGATTGAAATAACAATGAGTCTTGCACCTGTTCACTTCAGCAGCTGCTGCAAGTTGGCTCCACCTCCAACTTCACATCTTTGCATGCCTTGGGCGTTGCAAGGATCAGTGAGCTAGGGGTCATGGATCCATTTGTGTAGTAGCGATGCCCTTTGTAACTAGTAGCGATGCCAGGAGCTACTAGTAGCGTCTTTGCTACCAGTAGCGATGCCCTACTCAAGTACAAAGGTGCCCTGAAATCCCGCCCCAAATTTCTGCGAGAAGTGCGGAGTTGATGGCTGGGCCCTTCGGCCAGCAAAGGTAGCCTGGTAGCCAGCAAAAGGTGCGGGGGCTTTCACGGCGATCGACGGCACGATACGCGCTATGGCTGTCTACCCTCCTAACTTTTGCGCTGCCACAAGGTTCAAGGCCCCAACCTGGACAAGGCCCTGTGTGGTGGAAAGTGGAAAGTGCCACGGCGTCAAGTGTCATCAGAGGATCGCGTATAGGGTTTCAAAATCTTGATGCGCAGTCCTTCCCTGCATTTCACTTGAGCGAGAATCCGGTGAGACATGTTGTGTCAGATGGAGTACACAAGCCCGCCTTGCAATTGCAGGCTTTGTGCAAGTCCTTTACGCAAGTCAAACAATAACACGACTCTATGTTGATGCAGCGGATCAACAAAAGCTTTTGTGCCCCCACAACACACAAGCTTGCGACCTTCCTGACTTTGCATCGGGGCACCCATACATGTAGGTGCTGGAAGCGCCTTTCCCATGCGTCTGCATCGTAAGCAGTGACTCGCTCAGCACGAAATGGAAGATTGTGTTCTGGAGGAACTGCCTATCTGGATTTCCGAAACACAGGCTGGCGTTGAACGAGTCAATTGCATTTGCTTTCCAGGACCTCCGGGAAACCTGTCTGTCTCACACTCTTGGGTGTATCTCACCCGCAACATGATCTGGAATTAAAAACTAAAGGTTGCCACTTTTTCGTATGATTTCAAGACACCAGCCCATGAAATTTCCAGTGTGTCCTGCACCGGTGTTTCTGTCTTGAAATCTTGGTTTTCATGCCAAAGGTTCTGCCATTTGCGTTTGTAGATTTCACGAGCTTGATTGCTGGTTGTTGAGTGACTGAAAACGTTGAACAAAAAGTATGCTGAACCAGAACTACATGGAAATATAACAATACCAAAGATTTGGGGAATGTCCAAACCTTTGGTATCTTTGTGTGTGTGTGTGTGTCAACTCCTGTCTCAAAGGAGAACGACCACAATGCCTAGTTCATCTGTGTACGGATGAGCAGGGGGCAGAGGGATCTCTAGTTGTGGCCTCTATCAACGAAGTTCCACACTGGACGATCAGGTATAAGTCGCAGCTGGTGACCATCCTGCAATTTCTTTTGTTTGAACTGTTGACAAAGCTGTGACTCTCCTTTCCGGGTAAAGCGCCAGAGAGCTTTTGTTCAAACATTCTGTTCCACCGACCCAGCACTTCCTGCCGTTGAATCAAGTGCAGGTCTAACTGCGTGTAATGGTCTACCTGCAGTAACGCTGGAGTTCACAAACTGATATAGCTCTTGCGAGTATGGATCTAAGTGCGCTGGGCACTTTACTTTCTTGATCTTTCTTGCACTTCAGAACTTGCGACCTGCGACTGCCCAAAGGGTGAGGGGTCAAAACAAATTGACAAGGAAGCAAAAATTAACTTTTTAGTTGAGGACAATAGATAAGGATCCAAGAAAGAAAAGAAGAAACTGGCCTGCTGATGTGTACAGCACTCTGGGGACACCTTCACCACGGACCCAAGTCGGTGGTGGGAACCAAGACATTGGAACTAGGTAACTGGGTCTCCCCCTTACAAGCCTCTTACATCCTCCTGCCTTTGGAAAGGCTTCTAGTCTTCAAAATCAAAAACTGCATCCTGTACTCATGGCACCTCGAACCGAAAAAAGAAGTTGATAGCAGATAGCACCAGCTCCTTTCAAAAATGCCGCAGCACCTTGGCCTGAAAATACTAGCTATTGCGGAGAATACACAGGCTCACACCCTCTGCTTTGAACAAATTGCCAGGGAAGCTCTGCGCCTCGCGGATTGCCTCCGATGTCCGACTGCTGAGGAAAGGATGACTCGGTGGAATTTCACGGAACAGGTGCTGAACATCCTTCAACACATCGAAGCTAATGCCGTCCGAGCTGTGCGGATGCTCCAGAGAGGTCTGCTTCTGCGCGCGCTTTGCGCGAAGACTTGCCCCAGAGCCCATCCGTATCAAAACCAGGACCTAGTGAGGCCACTTGATCCGAAAAGCCTACGAGTGCCAAACGGAAGGTCTGCATCCAGCAGGAGTGATTTTCCCATTCTTTTGCTTTTTCATTTCCTTCATGCTTATTTAGTCTGACTAATTTGTCCAGCGATGCTGATAGAAAAGCAAAACTGTCCTTAAACTGACAAGCACCAAATGAAAAGGCTATAAACGTTTCACTGTTTTGCGCTATTACATCTATCCTTTTGTTTTCATTCAATTCTATGTTCAGTTCATTTGCTTTAGCAATAACTAAGTGAGCATCAGAGTTTTTGAGGTTATGAAAAAATATTGGGATTTTAAAAAACCTAAATGAATAATCTAAATTACATTTTACATGTGCTGCGCCTCTGTATTTACCTGTGAAGTGGCAGCGGTCGCGGACTTTCTCATCATCAGGTTGGAATTGCTTACTACATATTGAGCAGTGGGTCGCGTTTTTAAATTCTGTCTTTTGTTCGTAAGTTAATTCATCCATTGGTTTATTAACATTCATCCTTTCAAGTATATCTTTCTTAGTTATAGTCAGTTGAACTACAAACTTTTTCATACAATCCTCACCTCTGTATAAGTATGGTTGGCATGTATTATCAATCCTGCTTACTACATTCAACATATAACCGCACGGTTTATGTTCCTGATACGTGCCTTTTATACCATTGTTGGAGTTAGTGGTTAGACATTCAAAATCACCATAGATTACAAAAGGACATGGTAATTTCGTGTTATGCTTTTCAAATTCTATATAACTACCTTTGTCAGGCATTTTTGTTTGCTGTCCTTCTGATCCCATACAACCTTTTTCCAAATGCTTATTATATGCCTTTTCCGTTGAGAATGGGTTTAAGCAATGATGACAGTAAAACTTTTATTTTTGTGTTTGCTACTCTGAAAGTTTAGTAATCTACATCTGTTCTTTACCAAAGCATAGCGATAATTATTGGCATCATCAAAAATCTTTAACAAATCAATTTAATATTTAGCATTTTTGTTGTTAGTTCCTCTATGTAAAATTATGTTGTTGTCCTTCAAGCAGTCATCAGGTGCAAAAACATTTATTGAAACTTGCTTATTGTTTTCTTCAAACCGGTCTATGTCCCTATTCCCTGCAGGAAATTTAACACCATTCCAATTCAAAATATTGTCATTTAACTTGTTGTAGTGGAACATCTCTTCTGGATGATTTTTACTGATTTTATCAAAGACTATGCATTGAATACAGTATTTGACACATTTCTTTTGGTCTTTATTTTTTATGTTGATACACGCCTTAAGTTTAATCCATTCTGGTAGTTCTATATACCTCCCCGCTCTTGTAGGGTCATACTTATCAAAATGAATGGTTATTGAAACAATCTTTTTAAATACTAAATTGGACTGTGTGCCTTCTAAAGCTTGAATTGTCAATAAGATTTGTTGAACACTATTTTCTAATGCTTGGTTTAACTCATCCTCATTATGAACATTGTAACGCGTTGCTGGTAATTGGTAAAGGTGTTCGCTTGTAGCAATTTTGTTTCCTCCATCATCATACTCAGGTTTTTCAAATAAACCTTCCGTTCTGATGTTAAGTTTCATATTTCTATTTTTTAAAGGAAGTCTCTTAATCGTGATTTTTGGTGAGCAATCATTTCCAATCCTCGCTCACCTTGAAAGTGGTTTTTTCTAGTTTTATGGAATTGGCATAGTTTCTAAATGCTGACTGGACATCATTTACTCTGAATTTATTTTTTATTGCCCTCCTTGTTAATAATACTTTTGCTCGTCCAAGGGTGTAAGCATCCTTTGCTTTGTTTAAGGCATAACTCCTATACTCGTTTGTATTTCTGATTAATTTTAAGTGTTTTCTTTAAGGCATTTGATATTTCTTTTGCTTTATTGTATCTAAATTTCCTACCTTCTATGATTATTTGCTTTAATTCTTTTCTTCCTCTCTTAGGTATTTCTGCTAAATCATTATTATAAAGATAATCTATGACTGTTTTCATCATATAATACTCTATATATTGTATTAAGTCAGTTAATCTTTAAGTAGTTTTTATGTGAATGATATTTTGTTTCTTTGAATTTGTCTGTATTTAGGTCTTCTGTTCTGTTCTTTGTATTGTTGGTTTGTTGTTCTGTTTTTCTGGGAAGTGTTTGATAAGAATTCTTAGGAAATACATTTAAGAAAATGATATCTTATCTTTTGATGGAGAGATTTTGTAGATATTGTGTCAAAGATTTACCTATTGATAAGTTTGAAGAAGGGCTTAAAACTTGTAAAAAATGCTTAGAATATAAAAGAGCAAACGTGATAACATAGAGATAAAGTAAATGAAGCACAAAGAAAAAGATATGAAGAAGATGAAGAATATAGAAAAAAACTGGAACAAAACCATAAATTTAATCTAAAAACCATTACCTGTTCTGTTTGTAATTGTTCAATAAGGCAACAATGTTACTGAATACATCTTAAAACAAATAAGCATCAAAGAAATTTAGGCAATGGTCAGTAGATAGGATTTGATAAACATGAATAAGGTAATGATGCTTTGACTGCTTTGATTTTATAAATTGAATAAGGTTATGATGTTTTGACTGCTTTGATTTTATAAATTGAATAAGGTAATGATGCGTTGACTGCTTTGATTTTATAAATTGAATAAGGTAATGATGTTTTGACTGCTTTGATTTTGAAAATTGAATGAGGTGATGATGCTTTGACTGCTTTGATTTTGATATGGTTGATTAAATGAAGAAATCAACCATATTAAAAATCTGGTTTTATCCTGTTTCATTTTATTTTCAAAAACTTCACTCAACCAACTGTTTTAACATGTTTTCTCCTGGCCTTACTACTAGAAGTAAAGGACGCTACTAGGGGCTCCTGGCATCGCTGCTATGAGCATTCTTGCTACTAAGAACAATAAAGCTACCTGGTCTCATTTGGTCTCATGGTCTGATCCGATCGCTTCGCGCCATCCCATCGCAGCACCTGCACTTCTCCGCGCAGAAGTTCATTGGATCGTTCCAGTTGACCATAGTCCTCCAACACACTTGGTGAGCATTGAGCACAATGTCGGACATGTGAGGAAGAGCCTCCTATTTCACCGTTTCTTTACATCATCGACATCATTATATTCCTAGATCTCACTGGATAGTCACCGACTTCTCATCCGAACAACTATATATATATATATTCGATGAAACTCAATCAACTTGATATCAGCTGCTGCTACCT